TCCAGTAGTTTTCCTTTTATGACCGTTTCAATGTGGAACTTTAATTATAACCACTCTGTATATTATTAAATTTTAATTTGAAGCTATGCTTTATATGTATACCATGCGTAAATTTTTCGCTTTTATGGGAAAATAAAGAATCAAAGCAAATATACTTGGGATAATGGACCAAAACTGAAAAAAATTTCCCCTCCCTCCGAAAATAAAATATTGAAACTTCGACCTTGAATTTATTGGGTTATCGAAATATTTAATTTGACTTATCTTCTAAGTCCTAGTTCCGACAACAATTCCGTCAAAAATTCCGAATTACTTAAGCTGAAGTAAAAGATTTAGTATATATTCACTGTATGTTAATAAAGTAATCAGAGTGTAATAAAAATAGATTATAGAATTTACGCTGATGCAACTTTTTGTCTGACTGCACAACATGTAATGGAAGAGAAGGCTTGTAGAGATCTGTTTTTGACATGCCTCTAAAAGTAGATGTCATACTCCTTTTGTCTCTTCAATGTCAAAAAACTTTCCTTTGAGAGGCAACTTTAGTTTTTTTGGAAGAAAAAAAATCACAAGAAGACAAATTTGAAGAACATGCAGGACGATTGAGTACACATACTTATTTTCGGAACACAAGCGGTTCTCCGACTGGTTATTGAATAATGAAAAGATGCATTGTCATGCAATACAAAACATTTGGAATACGTTTTCTGACTGAAAACGTAAGATTAAAAGTCATCTGCTTAATTCACAGCCATTTACAAGTCAACTACTCGGGCAATTGCAGAATCGTTTTGATCCTGAGCTTGTAAGACAAACCTAATATCACTGGATTTAAACACTTCTTTAATCTTCCGAGAACGTTCCTTCTTTAGCTCATATTCCAAGAATATTAAGTGAATACAATTATTGCAAAAGAAATTGAATATTCATTTGCACTACGGCTTGGTAGTTTACTAACGAGTTAACAAAACTTAAATTCTGCTTTTTGTGTCTAAGAATACAACAATATTTTAAATATTTACAAATAAAATATTAAATTGGAGATTTAATTGGAGCCTCACCAGTTGCCTAGCATTTGAAGATTGTTAAATACTAATTGTTTGTTGCGAAGTCTAACCCAGGCTGCATGGTTGGTTTTCGTAGTTTTCTAGGTTCTATTTACAAAGGTTCTCTATGAAAGCATCTTAATCAAATAGCTCCCATAATCTTTCTATGTTAAAATAACCAACTAAGCTAGTTTAAGCGCGATTTCTAAGTGAAGTTACTAGCGAAACCCGAATACTCATTAAAAATCATGTAGCTTGCCAATCGGGAGTAACATGAAAGATACGGTACGCTGTTTCTAAACTTAGATGGTCATTCCTTAATTAAATAGCCCACCAGCAGCCGAGCGGTAAAGACGCTGAACACTGGTAGTTTGTTCCGAGGTTCAAATCCCGCGAACGGGCTGGCCGCATGGGTGTTTTCGTGGTTTTCCCCATGTGTTACGTGTATACGAGCCAGTTTCCCTTGGAAAGTCCTCCACGAAGGCATCCCTTCCTTTAGGCAGATAGCCCTCGTGTGCTTTGCCATAATTAAATAATCCAATCCAATCCTTAATTAAATATAATTGATTTGTAACTTCTACTAGAAGCTGACGGTAAGAATTGAAGTGCAAATAAATAATATCGTGTGCAATCTTGATTAATATAAAATTAAAAATATTTGCATAGAAAAATATTTGCATTCAGACAGAAAGTTTTTTGAAATATTTGCAATTACTTTATAAGAAGGATTTATTAATAACCGTAATAATTACTTATTATATTACTGATGATTAGGATTCAGTTCTTGACAATTACATTCTAAATTAGAATTTTAAGGATATAATGAAAATACGCTACGCACAAAAATACATTTTAGGATAAAAAATGAGTTGATTTTTTATGTTTTAAAACTTCTTAAATTCATTTAATAAACATCGTATCCTCGTTGTTAATTGAATCCAGAATGTTGGGTGTCGTTTATATAATTATTCTTACTTGTCCACAGAATCTGCTGACTTATCCAGCCATTAAGTAGCTGCAGATCATTTCTACATAACCATTGAACTTCCATTAATTCAGTCTCTAGAGGGTTGTATGTTTATATCATAATTTGACTTTTATAAAAATGATTATTCTAAATCTTATGTTTCTATAAAAATATACTGTGCTTTAAAAATATGGATGATAGTATCAGCCGCTCTTTCAGCCACTTCAAAAGCAACAGTTTGTTTAGAAATAAATTATGCAGTTAATGTCATAAAATATTCATAAAATTCAAATAACATCAAACGAAAATTCTCAGTTTTAGACAATTCGATTTAAACGAAGTAAAGTAGCAGACGATAAAACGCCGAAGGTAAAAATTTACTCTTACAAAAATTACTCTTATTTTTTTTTTTTTTTAAAAAAAAAGAAGAAAGAGAGAAATTAAAAAAAAATAGTTAAAAATTTGAATAATATCATCTATAATTTTTAAAAAATAGCTTTTCATATAGTATTAATAAATATTTATTACGCATCATTGAGGGAAAAAATGTCATATAATTAATTCTCCGTAAAATTTTACTTGAAATTTAAGGTTAAAAATAGCTGTGGCAATTCACTGTAACAAAAATCCATAGACCACATTTGGCGTTATTATCGCTCAAAAAAAAGATGCCAAATTTCAAAATGCGAAAATATGTAAATTCGTGTATATCTTAGAAAATTTTGAATAAAAAAGTCTAATTTTTTGCAGATATGCTTAAAAATACACCTACTTTAAGATGATGGTAAAAATTTTATAGGTTTTTCGAAAAATTTATAAAAATTATTTAAAAATAGAAATTTAAAAAATAAAACACAAAAAATGGGTAAATTTTATTTGGAATGAACCTAAATTTCGAAATGTGAGAGAAAAAATCAAAACAAGTTTAATAAAAAAAAGAGATATTAATAAATATTTGCCAAATTCAATTAACATTGAGGAGCTAAAATTTTGAGAGCTAATATTTTAAAAACTACTCGTACGATTTTTACAAAACTTGGTATTCTGGCATAATTTGAGTCGTAGAATCGAAATATGAAAAAAATTGGTATGTTATTTCAGAAAAAGTCCGATTTTGTGTCAAAATACCTATGTTAGAATAGTGCTATATATAAATCTAATATATATCCTAAGTCGCGCTTTCGAGACATGAAAAACGCAGTTTGAATTTTGTCAATCGGCCCAGTAGAACGGGAGATATAGCACTGTCCCTTTTTTTTTTTTTTTTTTTTTGAGCAGTGTCCATATTAAAGAATGATTTGTTGCAAAGTGGGTATGATTCTTTCCAACATTTTAAAACTTCATTAAATCTGACTTAATATTTTGAGATAAATTTAATATCAAATGTGGTAATTTACATGAAATAATAAATTATTTATAAATTGTTTTTAATCATTTTTCTATAAGTACTAATTAAATTTTATTTTTGCCAATATCCTTTAATTTTGATAAGCATGTGTAGCAAAGGGATGGGGGAAGAATCTCACAGCTATGAAAATAATGCAAACTAAGAAGAAAGTTAAATTTTTGAAAAGCATTAAAAAAATGTCAGCAGGAAAAATTCTTTCAAAATGCTAAAATGTATGCACATGTAAGGGTGAGAATACTTATATAAAAAGAATTTCATAAGAACTGTACAACTAAATATTTTTTTAACTATTGATTTGCAGATTCATCGTTTCACTTCAAGAAATCAATCAAAGTAAGCTGCTGGACTACCACAATCAAGGTCATGCTGTGCCTTTTAGTAAAAATATACAACAATACAATAAAAAATATACTCCAAAATTTTTTGACATTTTGAAATATGTCAAATTAATTTTCCCCCAAAAGCCCACAAAATATTATGACTGAAACCACTTTTGAGCTGAAAAGAATAATAAAGAATATTAATTTTAAATGTGACACAAAAAATTCAATGCTGTTTACATAATTTTTAATTATAGGACAACATGTGGTAATACTTTTCTAAATGTATGAAACAGTAAATATTTACAAGGTTAGTTATTACAAATAATAGAGAACTAAAGTAGAATTATATGCTTTAAAAACTTTTTTTATTGACAATGCTTACTTTTAAAACAAGAATAATATTATAAGATAAAATACATAAATTGCAACAACAGCCAACGGCAACACTGTCAGATTTCATCTGTTCAAATGGATTATTTATTCTGATTCAGTACCTCTATCTGAATTCGCATAAATGGGAGTCAAATAAAGTATAACTACATACAAATAAAATATAACTACATACTTATTAAATTGCTTTCTTAATAGAAAAGTGTTGAGTGTATGGCATCCTAAAACAGAACCTAAATTTTCAGATTTTAACAGTTGTACAAATAGGAATTTAGAATTAATAGCTACATTCTTATGTAAGTCTAACATAAAAGTTATATTTTAGAAATTGACATTGAAAAATTTACACAAAAGGTCATTTTTATCAATATTTGTATATGGTTTCCAAAAATTTAATTAATGATATTTGGTTAATTTTGATTGCATGACTTTTTCGTTTAATATATTAATGAAAAATGCATTTCTCAGTGTCCTTTTTTAGAAGTTTATATAAAAATTTAAATTCAATAAATTTTACTAAAATGTTCATAACTAAAATTGCTGCACTCTGATAATATACCTTAGCTGAAATACCTTCTATATAAATTATTAATAACTGTCTAAATGTATGAATGTATATAGGAGGACAGACTTATTTTAACATACTTGATTTGAGAAAGAAGTTTTTACTCCCCCCCCCTCTTCATATGAAGGTCAACATTTAAGGTGATAACGGTAACATTTAAGGTCCTAATGGTAACTTCTTGATTTTTTTACAAAAATATGTACATTGATATAGATTTATAGTTACTGAAAAGAGAAGTACTTATAGAATTGATTGCAGTAAAATATTTTATTGGACAATTACATAATAATTTATTTTTATTCTACTTACACACTGTGTGAGTACCAGACTCACTATAGGTACTATTGCAACGTTGTGTAAAAGCAGGTGGAGGGGTACGGGCAGGTAATGTCATTGATTTTGGTTGAAACATGGCAGGATGTTGACTTCTAAATAATGAGGAAAAAAATAAAGAATATTTACAAACAATAAAAAAATGAACAAATTTGATCACCCATAGCATAAAAAGGGCACTAATCTCTAAAATCTTCTTTAAATCATTTGGAACTGCATACCTTTTTTTAAAAGTATGCCTAATATCTTTAAATGCATATTAAGATTAAAATATATCCAAAGGGTTCAAGGGAAAATGACAATTTTTTCTGTGTTACCCAAGCAAAAATAGTGATACTGCGCAACACATAAGTAAATAATGAATTCAGTCTTGATTAAAAAAATAGCATCAAAACTAGTAATGATAGAAATATTTCAATTTTATGACAGGTAAAATCGGCTAGAATTTATTTAGAGTTATCAATATATGCACACTGCTTTGATATTTTGCTTTCTTGGAATTAAAAAATAATAGCAACTGCAGATTAACTTACTGAAGGTTAGCAACTGTAGTAGCATCATGTGATCGATTACAGGCAGAGATAAAAGATAACCCTTTAGTACACAAACATCATAATAATGATGAAAAATTAAAATTGTATGAAATATATAAGAATGTGATATACAGAAAACTGTCTTCCCAAACAGAAAAAAAAAAAAATGCTTTCCCACCAGTCATTATGATACACAACAAAATCACATACATGTACACATGTATAATTAATATGTTATTATAATTTTCTAAATTAAATAATTCTTATTCTGTCACATTCTGGTTCCTGGGTTGGAGTAGAGACTACATTTAATATCAATGTAAAAAGGATGCACCATTTTTATTATCAAGCATTATAAAAAGAAATCTATAAATTTTGTAATTTTATCATCAAGAAATTTTTAATTCTGAAGTAAAATTTTTTATTTTAGTATCAGAAAAATTTTAATTCTGCCGCAAAATTCTTTACCAAGGGGACAGTTACTTATTTGATTTTTTTAAAAATTCAACTAGGCACTTAATTTCCTTGGTAAGAACAGAACCCTTATATGCACAAATAAGTTTTGCAGCATTTTGCTTTTAAAGAGTTAAAATATTACAGACACATATCTAATAACTAGTAGCTCTTCCTTTAATCCATTAAAAGTGGATAAAACATCAGAAATTATCATACCATATGTTTTGCCTTGACAGCTTAAGTAATGCTTTGAATTAATGAGAACAGCAATAAAAAGAAAAACTGCAAATACAAAAAACAATTTCATTGTCAACTTACTTTATGTTCTTTTTTCCCATGTATTTGAACTGATGAAGACAAAGCCTAATGGAAAAAGAAAAAAAGATGCTGAATTAGATTTAATTTGAAAGTTATTCATTAAACAATTTTAATAAAGTGCACAATTAAAAATACTAAAGAATAATACAGTAATGCTTAAAAAAGGCACAAAATTGGGCAAACTATCTCTCTTTCTAGCCAGTTTTTGATGTAAGTCTTGAATTTTAAACACTTACTATGAAACTGAGAATAAATAATATTTTCTGATGTTCATGAATTAATTAATATTTAACATAAGTCAACTGAAAAAAGGTGATCCCACTTAGTGTTTGCATAATTTAAGCAACTTGTGAGGAATTTATTTTCTATTATACCAGAGGTGTTATAATAATAAAGAAATTAAGTACTTTTTATCTCTTTGAGTTGACCAATTACTCTGTTCCCTCCTAAAAATTCTAAGTAATGCATTAATGTTGGGATCATATCATTAAAAATAAAGCTAAGAAAATGATAAATTTAGAATTGAATGAAAATTCTTCCTTCATTTTTGTCCACAAAGTATAATAGAAAATAACTGCACCAAATACAAATACACAGTAACACTCATTATGTACACACACAAAAACCTGTATGTTCATTATTTTATGGTACTTGTATTTACTTTAAAAGAATATGAAAAAAAAAAAAAAAAGATTTCTAAAAGTCACAGCATTATTTACAAGTAAAACAGCTGCAACAAAAAATAGACAGAAGTTTCTATAGCAACCTAAAAGTGTCAGCTGCCAAATTTCAAAAACAAGACTGACAAAAGAATAACAAAATGAACATAACGTATATTTGTGCAAACCACTCAAATTACTTTTCTGTAAACCCAATGTGGTATATTTTTTCACAAAAAATTTTAGAGCTTTCACAGAGGTATATTACTTGAAACAGATTTCCACTACATTATGCAAGCAAAGCCATGATTAAGCAATAAAAGGAGACCTTAGAATTATGTTTTTGATGTGACTGTAAAAGCAGCTGGCACAAAATTTTGAATCTCTTTAATGCCAGGAAACACTTTTCTTTGACAGACTGTTTTAATTTTAGAAAGATAAAACAGTCACAATATAACAAATCTGAAGAATGGCAAAAAGATGCCACTTGGGGTCATAGATTACTATATATACAATAGCTGACGAGAAGATTTATTGTTGCACAATTGCACAATGAATTTAGAATAGAAGTTTTCAACCATTCAGTGCAAACCAGAGCATTAAAAATTATCTGCTCAGGCAGGTAATAAAAGGATTTTTCAGTATTCACAGCAGTTTTGACCCCACAGATTTACAATGACATAAAAAAAAAAAAAAAAAAAAAAGAGAGAGAATTTACTAATGTCACATTGTGTGTTTGTAATACATTATGACACTGTAATATTAAGTCTAAATTTTTTCTGTTTTACAAAACAAAACATAAAATAATTACATATTAAAAGTTTTCTGCTTTTCATATTTAAATTCATCATATTTAGGGGAAGCTAAATAATGATGATGAAATAAAATAATGATGAAATAGATAAAAAAATGATGAAAATAATGATGAAATTGTCTCTAAGTACATAAAATCATTACAATAAACACAGTAACTATTAAATAACACTCATAAATAAATAAATAGGGGTTAATAAACCTTGTAATGGAGTATTCAGAATTAAAAATAAATATATTAAAGCCAAATATTTAAGCTTACTCTAATATGTGAAAAAAGTCCAGAATATCATATTCACTGCAATGTTGCCACCAGCCTATGAGAAGTTCTAGCAAAGAAATTGTTAAAGCAGTTATATAATTAAAATAAATAGTCAATAACCTAAAAAAATTAAATACAATGATGGCATATACATAAATCACTAATAAAACAAAAGTTCTAGCAAAAAAAAAAAAATCGATAAATCACTGTATTCATAAAAATAATCACTATCCCTAAAATCAAATAAAATGAATGCATACATACAGACATAAAACTCACTACAAAAACTCAGAACAAGTACTAAAAACACATTTAGCATATTTTAGTGTATAATTAATGCCCATTTCACATAATACAATACAAAGTTCTTAATTTCACTTAGGCACGGAAACCTATCAGATGAATTATTATTTATTATTTTTTGCTTTCATGACTGTGTGAAGACAGATTGCAACACGCTGCATCTTGAGAAATGACTCATGCAGCATTGTGTAAATATTTTTTCTTTTTTTACTTCCTTGTACGAAGTGAAAAGGAAGTATTGTAATCGCGAAAAGTTTCAGGCAGCATATTTCAACGAAAATATCCATTTTGACCGCTATCGAATGCAATTTAACGATGTTTTGTTTTTGTGCGACATCTGAACGTAAGGACAGAATAAAAGAGGCTTTTCCTTCAAAAAAATTATAAAACTGTTTTAAAATGAATTATGAAGAGAATTTTTCGTGGCTTCTGTACGAACTTATGTACGTACATACGTATCTCGCATAACTCAAAAACGAGTAGCCTCAGAACGTTGAAATTTTGTATATAGGACTGCTATAACATGCAGATGTGCACCTCGCATTTTGGTTGCAATCAGCTGCACCAAACGTATATAAATATATTTATATATATATCCACTCTGTTAGCCGACTCAGTGATCTCAGCTTCTTTACTCTTATATGTTTGTAAATTATCCATTTTTTACTTTAAAAATGATTAAATTATGTTGTTCTTATCTTTTGGTTAAGGTATTTATACCTTTAGTAAATCTAAATGCAATATTTTTACAATTATCAACAATTTTAAAGTTGTTTAAGTGCCGCTAAGCCTAATAATTTTTTTGATGGCGGCCATTGATTGTTTACATTTGAAACAGCAGACTAGTGGATTTGTTGGCAATCTAGAGAAACTTAGCTTCGCAACAACAAAGATAATGCCTTCATTTATTATTGCGAATTAAATCATGCTTAATCCTTTCTGGAATTTTTTCAAGGAAAATAAGTGTTTAAGAGTTACTTCGTAATTTTTAATACAGATATTTTGAGTTTTTATGTATTTTTGCCTTGTTGCAAAAAGAGAACTGAATTAATTAAATGAGAAATACTAAATTGTCTGTAAAAATCAATTGTTTCTTTTTTGTTTTGTTTGCTTAATTTCTTTTATACATCATTCTAGATTTATTACAGTATTTGAATAGAACATGATAACGATTACATAATTCTTCTAATGATATAAATTTTGTGCATTCTGAGTTATAATATGAACAAAATATAATGCTGTTAAGTGAACCTAGCGCCAGAGTGTAGCTATGGTAAACAAATATAGTGAATTTAAAAAGTGCATTTATTCTATTGTGGTTTATGCGCTATCAACGAAGTAGTTTTAATTCAATCCAATAAGTTTAAATGAAATGCATGAAAAAATGCATATAATTTAATATTCCATACAAGGGAGTCATGTGGTGTACACATCAGATTTTTTAACATTAGTAAGTGAAATAGCATGGTAACCTTTCATGCTGACATTACAATTAGCAATGATTACAAAATTTAGCTAAATTAATAAATTAATTTAGCTAAATTAATAATTAATTAGCTAAATTTAAATGGGTGCTGACGAGGGGAAATTTAACAGGAATTTCTTTCCATATGGAAAAAATAGACTTTTGTAAATGATATTCATAGGTCAAAAGATTACATTTAAGTGCTGTTTTAAATGAAAATAACTCATCTGTTATTCAGATAAGAAACACCAAGCAACAAAATTAAAGGATCGCAAAATTTTTAGAATTAAAGGAAGGCGTTGGAATGCAAAATTTGAGAGTGGAAAAAATTTTACAATTTAGGTATGTGCTTGGCATCAGAATTTCAGACCCACAGAGTCCACACAAGGCCACAAAATGTCTAGCTTTGGCTCCGGGTAATTATAGGTGCGAATTTATTTATTACAGACTCAGCCTTAATCACATGCAAGAAATAAGTTTAAGTATAATAAATAACTAACATAATTCATCCTTAACTTCTCAGTGTGCGAGAGCAGCAACATAAAATTTAGCAGAATATATTTAGTCACCAATTTCATGATATATCATTAACAGTGCAAAGCAGATGCTAGCTAACCTTTATGATAATAGCTGCAAATTTGAAGGTATTCAGATATCGCATATGCATATAAGAAGAATTTTCCAATTAATGGAATTTTTAAGAAATATGGAGAACTGGTAATAAATGAAGTTGATGTAGCAGAAGCTTTTATTGTGATGACAATGCCCCAACATCAGTCAAATAGTGGGTGGCGAAATTTGTAGTCTGATTCTAAATTGAGAAAATATTACTACTAATAAAGACAAACAGGTTGTTCAGAACAAAAACATTTTGATTGATAATTTATCGGTTGATAATTTAAGTAAGCGCAATAAGTTTCACCATGTGATTTTTAAATGATACACAGCACATCCAAAGGAAACAAAATACTGAATAGAGAATTTTTATTCAGTGATAAGCAATATATGATTTTACATTTATCATATGTTGAAATTTTCTGTTTTTAAATTTTAGCATTAATTTCAGAGGTTATGTAATAATACCTACCGTATTTGACGGCATATAAGACGCACTTTTTTTTTCCTAAATTTCGTCTCAAAAAAGTTACCTGCGTCTTATACGTGAAGGACACACGTTAACTTTCAATCCTGAATGCTATTTTTAGCACGGATAAAGGTCTAGACACACATAACGTTTTCTACATCTGCCATAATTATTTTGCGAATGTGTGAAATATCTGTCACCAAAAAGTGCCAAAGCTCGAAGCTGATATCGAAAATTGAACAGGTTCGACGGTCACATTACGTCTATGGAGCCTTTCTTTCTTTACATACACTTTCTTTGACTCAACCGACACATGTGTTTGTACTCGGTGCTACACTGTATAAACGTGTGGTATCGGTGCTTAAAACAATTTGTTTAAAAAAAATACCCTGGAAAATATGACTACAGGTAACAAGAGATTAAGCTATACAATTCAGTATAAATTAGGATTGTTAAACTACATCAAAGTGCATGGAAACAGAGCAGCAACAAGGCATTTCGGTTCACCACCTACCGAAAAAATGATACGTACTTGGCGTCTGCAGGAAGATCAACTGAAGACTACTAAAAAACCAAAATATAACCTTCGATGCCCAGCTCCATCTTGGCCTGAACTTGAAAATGCTGTAAAAATGTGGGTGATAGATAAGAGGAAATCTGGGATAAATGTTTCAACCAAAATGATAATCAATGAGGCCAAAGAATTTGCAGAAAAACATGGGAATCAAAGTTTTTCAGGGGCTGAGGGCTGGTGCTACAGGTTCATGAAAAGGCAAGGCTTATCAATGCGCACAAAAACAAATATTTCACAGAAAATGCCAGAAGATTATGAAGAAAACATACTAGCATTTCATAGGTTTGTTATAAATGCACGCAAGAAAATTTCTTTTGAGCTCAGTCAAATAGGAAATATGGATGAAATTCCACTCACATTTGACGTACCATCCAACAAGACTGTGAGTATTAAAGGGTCTAAATCAATAACCTTAAAAACCACAGGTAGTTCTAACATGCTGTGCTGATTATTACCCATAGAACTGAAACCATAAAGAATAAAGCGAGAGAATTAAAAACCAGATAGCTGTCATTCCTGGTGGACTTACTAGCCAATTGCAGCCTTTAGATGTATCGGTGAATAAGCCATTTAAGGAAAAAGTGTGAGAACGATGGAACAAGTAGATAGGAGTGCCACATCACGCCCTCACACTCTCAGGTAGAATGCAGCGGTCCTCTATTTCACAAGTGTGCGAGTGAGTAAAAAGATCTTGGGAGGACGTAAAGGCTGAAGTAACTGTTAAGTCCTTTAAGAAGTGCAGAATCAGTAATGCTCTTGACGGAGCAGAAGAAGATGAATTATTCGAAGAAGGTGATATTAGCGATGAGGGAAACAGTAGTGATGACGATATTCTCATTTTCGATGATGATGATAGTGAAAAGGATTTTTATGGTTTTAAAAATTATTAAAGTCTAATTTCATGGTAGGCAACGTTTTCCTTGAATCTGTGTTTTTTGTTGTTTCTGCTTTATTTTGTATTATGTTTGATTGCTTGCCGTTCATTCATTGATTCATTATTGAAATTTACATATCATCTCCAAAATAGCTAGCAGTTTGTTAGTTTTCCTTAATAAAAATATGTTTGGTAATTGCATTCAATGATTGTTTATTTGGCTTTTACGAAATGTGAGAACTAAAAGAAACCACATTTTAAGTTATTGTGGTAGTGGCCTTCTAAATAAAGGTGCATCTTATATGCCGTCAAATACGGTAATTTAAATTAAGATATTTTTTTAAATCCTTATACCTTTTCTCAATTTTTAATTTTCCAAAATGCAGTTACACTTTAAATCTTTAGACATACTATATTATAAATTTATTTACTATTTCTTAGTCTGTGATATCTATATAAAGGAAGAAGATACATACCTTCATTAACATGCTTTACAATATACAAAAAGCATACTAATAAATCTTTCATTTCTGTAGAATCAATTTTATCAAAATGAAGCACACTAGAAGAACTAGAGAATGGAAGAGAATGTGACCTATAAAAAGAGAGCAGGGAGAACAATTTAGAAGGACACTGTAGAATGTATATAATATTCTAATATACAGCATATTAAGTACAATGGTTAAAAGTTAAGATAAGGATTAAAAAGTGATCCAGATTATACTACAAGTTACAAGTTGTTATACTACAGACAGGGATCCAGATTATACTACAAGTTCTTCTGCCGAAAGTGACTATGAACAACCACAGCAAAATGAGGATATTATTTATGAAAGTGATGAGAATGAGTGTGAGCATTCTGACCATGATAACCCTTCAGCTAACATAAAAAAGACTGATACAGAGGACATTATTCTGTGGTACAATAAACCAAAAGATTTTGAGCCAAGATTTCAAAGACCACCAAAACCATCGCCAGGTGTTGTTATTCACCATAACATTCAAACAGGTTGTTTGGAATTTGATTATTTTTAGAAACTGCACTTGTTCATATCACAGACTCAACTAACAAAAGGCTGGAAATTTTAGGAAACAAGGAAAAGAAAGTTCTCACACCCACTGATATAGGTATATGGGTGAAATTATGATTGTCATTGGTTGTAATCTGATAACGCATTATAAGTTTCCAAGTACCAAATATTATTGATCTCATGATAAATCAATGAGAAATGCTGTTTTCAAAATCAAGGGATCATCAATATTGCTTGTTACCTTCAAAGTTGTATTTTGCAGATACTGAGAAATCACCACATGCTAGTAATACTTGTTATATAGATGATGTCCTTAGTTGTCTGAAAAATACTTGAGAGAAATGAGAAGCGATTCTAAAGTCCAGAGCATTGATGAGTCAGTGAAAAAATTCAAAGGTAGATCATCACCAAACAATATTTGTCAATGAAACTGTGAAAAGAAGGAATAAAAATGTGGCTGCATTGTGACTCTTTGACAGGATATGTATATGCAAAACCAGAAGGAATATGCGGAATTTGGATTTAAAAAAAGTTGCAAAAATCAGAATCTATTTTTAGAGTTAATAAAAATGGTACATTGTGAGTTTAGTGGAAAGACACCAAAGATGCTACGCTTCTATCAAACTAACATTCTGATAAATTAGAGACTGTGGTTTGGAAACAAAAAGATGTACAAAATTAGAAGTTAGTTGCCTAGAAGCCATTTCTCATTACAATATGTAAATGAATGGAGTTGACCACTGTGATCAAATGGCTACTCTTTATGGTCATGGCAGAAAATCAGACAAGGTGGTAGAAAAAGATTTTTTGGAAATTAGTTAAGATTTTTGTTGTGAATGCATGGATTACGAAGTGTGATGTGGAACATAAAACAGTACCGCTGTTATCATCCACGATGCCCTTAGCTGAGCAACTAATAAATGCTGGAAGGGAAAGCAAACACAAAAAGAAGACGAGAGTGCGGGCGCCCATCAACCAAAAGCTAAAACTTTGTTGAATGTAAACCGTCTTCCAGCTCACCATGCTTAGAGGAAAAGATGTAGTTACTGTTCATCAAGAAAAATAGAAACAAGAACATTTACTACTTGCCAAATGTATCAGGTTGCACTTTGTAAAGGCCGCTTTATGCCATATCATACTCAACTTACTGTAAGAATAAAATATTCAGTACATTTCATTTAACTTTATTCACATGCAGTATAAAGTTATTATCACAATATCCTAGACGATTGAGACAAATAGTCCCGGTTGACAATTTGATTGGGACATATTGTCCCAGGAGATTTCCAGGAAACAGGAAAAGTTAAAAATTTTAAATTCATATTATACTTTTTTAGTATGTTAACATTCAATTACACTAATTTTTGTAGTTAAATTTTAATCATGCAAAAGTCATGTTGAAAGGGTTTTAATGAGTTTCAGCCTTTAAACCTCCATAAAATTATATTTATTTTTCTGTTTTGTAAAGACGGAATTCAAACTACTAAAATCAGCTTCAACCATATACAAGCTTAGAAATGCAAGCAAAAATGGTAATAACACTTCAGAAAGTTTGGGATATTATTACACAGTATTTATGTTTGCTTAAAAGTATCTTAAGACCATAATAATTTTAAAAAGCATCTTAGCTTTAATATCAACTGGCAGTTTAATAAATTTAACTTCTCTATTACATTCAATATTTTCAGTTTAAAAGTGATGCCATGTTTCAGTCTGGAACATGCATTTTTTTGAAATTTCTGACTGCAGTTTAACCCCTTAACGATTGGAATTTTCAAGAAAACAGTCATAAAAGTGTCTACTTTTTTAATCCAAGAAAATTGTATAGAAATAAGTGTCTGTACAAAATATGTATTCATTTTTAATTTTTGGATTTTTTTTAGCTTGAAATTTAAAAAAATTAATTTTTTAGGAAAAGCCGACATTCAGGATTATTGTGACTGAATGTTGGTTTTCCAATAAGCCATAAAAATTTAAGAAATACGCGATTTAAACATTAAAAGAGATTTTTATTAAATTTACACATAATATAAACAAAGATTAGTAATTTTTTCTTGTGTGATAAATTTCAAAGTATGAGATGCAAAGGCCAACTTCACAGTCTGGACAACACTACCAAGTTGCCCTTTTGCATCTCTTCTGAAACAACAAACTTTGCATTCTCTTGATGATTGCTGTTTCTTATCAGTTGGGGGTATCTGTCTAATAAAATGTCTTTCAATCCAACGATTTGGATTATCCTCCAAGCTTGGCCAGCCTCTTTTTGGAATGGTGTCTGATGACTGATACATTTCAATAAGTTCATCTACTAAAGATAAACGAAACATCAGATGGAATTTTTTTTCCACCCTGCCTTTTGTAAATAAGGTACGAGTTCAAAATAATTTGATCTAACAAATGTAAAAATATTTTCTTATAATATTTCTTTTCTCTTTTTTGATCAATAGAGTAATTTCCAAGATACTGGTCTACAATATCTACTGCTCCCATGTTTTTATTGTAATCTGTGACAACTGTAGGTTTTCTGACAACTTTGTTATGACACTGTACATCTAACATGTCATTTGTATGGACTGTAGATAGCATGGTAACTCCTTTCACATCTTTCCACTTCATGAAAAGAACTTTACCGCGACGAAAAGCAACATTTTAACTTTTTGCGATGCTCTTTTTTACCAATTCTTGTAGCATTTCTTTTCGGTTTAGTTTTACAGTTCCACAAGTGTCTGTTTGAAATTTCAAAAACATGTCTGCCAATTCTGATGAGGTATAAAAACTGTCTGTTATCAGACAATATCCTTGTTTTAGCAAGGGGCTTGATAAGTAACACCACAACTTGAAATAATTGGGGCAGATCTTTATATTTTGCATCAAAAATCATACATTTTCCAGTATATATAATTTGTGACCACTTATACCCTGAATTTGATTCACATAACAAATACAATTTTACTCCAAAACAGGATCTCTTTCTTGGTATATGTTGTCACTATCCTAAAGGACCTTTGAAGAGAGTATGGGTTTCATCAATTACAATATGCCGTCCAGGAGTTACAGCTCTTTGAAACAATTCATTCAGGTGCTCTATCATTCGCCAGAATTTATACAGCTTAGGATTTGGATGTGTGTTACAATCAAAAGTTTCATGCAGAAACTTGCGCATTTCATAAAATCCATTACAAGGTATCACGGTTCTGAAATTGAATGTTTTTTGTTCCAATACATTTTTGTATCTGCTTTTTCTTACAAAACTTTGTAAAATAACTATGCTTAGAAATTTAAGAATTTCTTCTTTTGTGACAGGTATCCAAGGTTTTCTATTTTTGGATAGGCAGAATTGTGGAGAATTTCAGCATTCTTTCGGCATATCTATTTGTTTCCGAAATGATGAGATCCACAAAATTGTCATTTATGAAACACTCAAAATATTGTAAGACACCAGAACTTGTACCAATTTTATATTTACTTTTGGTGTTCCTAAAAATTTAAAACATGAGGATGCATGATCTATTATAGATGCAATTTTAGTCCATACTCGTCCAGGCAACAGAACAGATCCATCATCACTGCTCTCAGATTCACTAACCAAAGTTTAAAAAAAATCAGTTACTTCAGAATCACTCTCAGATCAATTTATACTAAAATCAGAATCCAATTCACTGTCTGACTCTGACACCATAATGTACAGAATATTAAAAAATAAGTATATTTTATCCCAGAACAGAAACTATGTGTCTTCACAAAAAGACTATCTAAGACTGGGCTGATGCTGAGATTACAAAATACATACCATAAATACATGTTTGATTAGTGCTGACATCTAGTTTAAAATAAACCAACTATCTCTAATTGCATGAAAAATATTATTCTGGTACTGCTGGTGTGTAAAATGAGAAATAAAACTTTTCCTGGGAAAAAAATAATGAATAGGTTTTAATCTTTTTGCCACATTGCTTTTGAACACTCCTGCCTGGAAATATCATGGGCATGAGAAAGAGAGGGTGAAACCTCACCTCGTCATGTTGTCAGGAGTGAGAAGGAAGGGGTTAAAACCATCACTCAATTTTTTGGGATATTTTGTACATATTTTTAAACCTCTATCTTTTATTTCCATATGCTGTAGGTTAGAAAGGTTTACAATTAGATCATCACAATTTTAGCGATTTTTAATTTAGATTTTCTATTGACCCTTTACTGATCTCAAAAATCGAAATCTATCTCACCTAATATCAATCAAATATGATCCACTCTGAAGACCTCTGATCTAGAAGCAGCTTCATAAATAGCTCATGCTCAGAGATGTGCCATTCAAAGCATAAGATCTTTATTTTATCTTTGCAAATGATCTATTACTCTTTACAAAGTGAATCATTCAAGAGCAGTAAATGCACTTCTTAATCTTTTATTATTTTTTAGTGATGTATTTAATTTATATAAATTAAAATAAATTTAATTTATAATATATCTAACTGATAACTTTAATACTTGCAGCTTTGTTGTAATTAATAAAAGATGTTTAACTCCCCTTATAATAAATTGGTGCACAGTCATTTTTAACATTTTTTTATTAAGTTTTTAAATATTTATACTTTTTGAAATTATGAACGAAAATCTTTTTTGAGGTGAAGATTGTAATCAAAACTTTCATATTGTAATTTTTCATTTTATTTTAATTGTTTTTTTATTTGATTGTTGTATTGCTTTTTACTCAATATTATCTAGATTTTCAATGCATTACTTCATTTCCCACATAAAAAATACAATATCTTAAAGATTCCAACTTGGACTCTCAATCTAATTCTTCTTCAACATTTTATGACATATTAAAGGTTAATGCAGAAGTAGATTAAATGATTTTAATGAAGTATTACATCTGCTATCAGTTAGCAAAATTTTTTCCTTCCAAATTCAACATTTTAAAGTGAATATGCATTATAATTTAATGCTCATAAAATTAAAATTAAATGTTCAATAATAAATTCCGTATTTTCTATCTAATTTTAAATTGTGTATTTTAACAAACCTTGCATGACATTTATAATCGTCCAAACTTTCTGTTCCGTCTTTTTCTTTACAGTGGGCTTCACTTTCTTTGCTTCTCTCTGATAGTGTAGATGGGTTTGAAGCATTGCTATCAATTGAAGTACAAGATCCATTAGCAAAAGTTACAGTTGGCTGCGTCTGAGCTGAAAGAAAGAACAATATTGAGATAAAATGTTAAACATGAATATATCAAGTAAAATACAAGTAATTCAATAATACAAGGACTGTCATTTTCTCAGCAAATTAACCCTTTGACGTGCGCCCTGAAACTGCCAAATTTCAAATTTTTTCCCCCTCTTCTTTCCGAAATTTTTGAGTGAAAATCAATTGATTACTGATCTTTTATCTCTAAATAACACAAAATAACTGCAGAATCATAGGCAAACTGCGAATTTAAAAGGCATCCGATTTGATGTCTTAGTTCTTATAGGAATGCTTATTTTTACCCGGATATAGATAAGGGGCTTTGAAACCACAGAAATATTTTATTACTAAATAATACCTGCACAGTGAAAAGGTCTTTGTTTTCCAGAGATTTTTCTCTGACCTCAACACACTTGCTTCCCAAGCTAGTATTGTGATTTTATAAATTATTTTCTGTGTTTTAAATTTAATGCAAATATACTTTACTATAATTAAAAATAGAAATCACATAAAGTGTCTATTTAAATTAAAAATATTTTCTAAATATTTTGGGACGAAATACTAATAAAATAAATATGAATGGGAAACGAATGATCTGTACCAAAGCCAAACCCTCAATTAACATAAAAAACCACAAATTTATATATAATGCAATTCTTGCATACATTTTTTTAAATTCGTAAATTTCGTCATTTATTGAAAACACGCAAGGAAAAAGGTAAGTTTTTTTTTCCTACTACCTCAGTAAGTTCCAAAGTCCTAGATGCGCGCTGGTTTCACAGTGCGACCACCACCCACAGAAAAATGGGCAAGAGTAGATTTTTTTAAATTCACATATTACTTGTCTCTAGGATCAGAATATTCAATTTCTAGTTAAAAACATTATAAAAATAATATAGCACACATCAAAGGGTTAAAGTTCTTACCCATTTCAAGATGTTATGCTATTTAGTGAGTGCCATAACAGAAATAAAAAAAAAAACTCTTATCTGTAAGTAAACTTAATAATTTGATCAAATTCTATGATCATTACATTGGGGGATATTTTATTTCTTAAGACAATGCTTTATACATTTTTATCCAATAAAGTATGTATTTTCATAAATATAAGATACTTCCCGCATGAGCACCATTATGCACAGATATACAGGGTGAGTAAAAAATATAGCTATATATGAGAAGTAAATGCAACATGCTACTGTAGAAGGAAATTGTAAATAATATATTAAACCTGAAATTTATTCCCCTGCATATAATTGTCATGGGTTTAAACATATATCATTAGCCAAGATAAGACTGAAAATGCAACATCGAGTTACAGATGCAAGGCAGGCAACAGCATAATAAAATAATGGTATAGCTGGTAAGAATCATTCGCAGGGGGACCGTGGTGAGTGAAGGACGTGTTTTTCTTCGCTCTAAAAACCGGTTTTCGTGTATGTCCAATATCAACATGGGCAGAGTCTAACTTGTACTACCTCATGCTTCGTGCTAAGACTACTTTGGATATTGATGCGACTGCCTATACTTATGCTTATCTTATGCCTATAATTGCTGGTTTGGTGATTGAATTCGTCATATGATTGCTTATTAAATTAATTACAGTCAAAAGTCGTTAATCCGGACTCGTCGGGACTTCGGCGATTCCGGATTATCGATTTTTCCGGATTATAGATCATCAGTTTAAATCTGGTAAAATGGCATGCAGAAATTATAAAATTAAAAATATGAAACCTTAATTTACAAAATAAAGAACAATTATGATCTAAAGGTTATCAAAATTTACAAAAAAAAAAAAAAGCTTAATATTTATTTGTTTACTTTATTAAACATTTCTTCAATGAAAGTGTTTAAGTTGCTTCGTTTTTTATGTATAATACATTCTCTTTAATTCTATAAACAGACATAATTTCTTGTTCAGTTACAAAGTTCCGCTGTTCAAGTCCTATAATTGCTGTGTCGAGAATACTGACTAATTTGTCAATCGAAATTTTTTCGTTTTCAATAACCTCTGTCACTTTCTTCGCTATCGGAAGCGAATTATAATGATGAGGCATTTGATTTAAATCATATCAAAGACGAGATGAAATACTACATTGAGTAAGCAATTATAAGCCAAATAAAATAAAAACATCTGCTCTTAAGATAAGGATAGTGCTGACAGATCAACTTCCAATTCATTGCATGCCGCTGCTGGGTTAAAGATAAACAAAGTTTAGATAAACAAAGTTAAAGATAAACAAAGGATATGCCTTTTATCCATTTTTGCAGCAGCAATTCCACTTTTTGTTTAATGGACTCCGAAAGATACTTTCGCTTTGTATATCCTTTACATATTAGTAAATATATATCGGAAATTCTATTTGACATAATCGAAAGTTCAAGCTTACTTTTATAAAATTGCTCTAACAGTCTGCATAAAATAATAATCCGGATCCAATTCGAAGATTAAGGTACAACGCAATCTGCAACATTAACGGAAATAGATAATTAGATAATTTTAGCTTAGCTTATCCTGTCCGTAATACATTAAACGCGCATTCGTAAACGTATTTTGCGCACGCGCACACGCGAATTCGCAGCGGTAAAGGTTTTACGCGCATGCGTCAACGCGACGCATGCGCAGAAAGTTTGTAGCTTTGAGGTCCGGATTATAGATCATTCCGGATTATGGGTGTCCGAATTAACGACTTTTGACTGTATTTAATTTTGGTAAGTAATTTACACAATTAATTTTTCTTTTTAGGATAATTTTATCTTAAGGTTTTCACGACTTGTCTGGATTTGGATTGCATATTCTCGCATATTTACCCCCAAGCTTTCGCTTCAGGTGATTGTCAGGGGCCTTGCAGGAATTTTCGCCAATACATCCGCCTGTTAGGACACCGTCGAGTGAGCCTAATTCTGGAGTGTTGGACTCCTATTTTCAGGGTGCAGGATTTTGATTTTCGATGCGAAGATGGATGCAGTACTAGGTGCAATGAAAGCGCAGATTAGTGAGCTCAATCATGTCAAAAAGCAAAATGGAGAATTCACTGATATGGAAGGCAAACTTTATAAATTTTTGCACAGTCTCGTAGATATGTTACAGGTCTTTAATACACAGATTAATCATGAGAAAACTAATACTACTAGTGAAAACACAAATCCAATTGCAGATGTCAGACACACGAGTAATGATAACGGGTTCCAGGTTCTCTCCATATAAAATAACGCCTACTATCGCTTTCTAGACTAAACCTAGACTCATCCGTAAAGAGAACAGACCTCTATTGATCAGGCGTCCAGTGGACATGTTGTCGCGCCCACTGCAAACGGTTTCTCCTATGGCGTGACGTGAGCAGCACGCAAATGGCTGGTCGCCTTGCATACAGACAACCTTCGTGAAGCCTTCTACTCACAGCTGACGTTGATACCAACCTTCCGGTGGCTGCAGCAAGGGATGATCTAAGAAGAGTCGGAGTAGCGGTTCTATTCCTGATTGCATATAATGTCAAATATTGGTCATCGGCGCTCGTTGTAGCAGTTGGCCATCCTTGGCTGAACTCCTAGGTGCTGAATCTGCGATTTGAAATTGCCTCCAAAGTCTATGAACCACAGAAGGACTCCCATTTAGCCCTCTGTCCACTTCAGTTAGACTTTGTCCTTCCTCTAGTCTCCCAATGGCTTTCTATCGTAGTTCTGCAGGCAAATGATGCCTGGAGATCATTGTTACGAATTGGCTATTTCAGATTTCTGATGTCACCACTATCACAGTGAAATATGTGCTTGCTCTCAAACATGAACTTTTATGCTCCTCGCAGATGACATATTCCGAGTGCAGCACCACTAATTTGCATATTGGAGTTTTACTCAGCTACTCTTACTTGGCAACATATTCAAATTTTACGCGGTTTGGCTTATTTTTGAGGGAGTTATCGCTATTTTTGTTATTTTCCCTTAATTTATGATAACCAGTGTATACTCATAATTGAACTACCTTGTACTGCTCTGTCTGTTGCGTGCTTTCTTGTACAGCCTAATCTTAGGCTTGCGGCCTCTTGCTTGCCCCCTTTCTACCATCACCTTAATCCTCCAACTCTATTACATCAGACTAACCAAAGTCATGTGCCTCTCGGCAACTCTTCAAGACCTGAAAACAGCGCGCTCCGCATGCTACCCCAGCAATAATTGTTCGGATCGAGCTGGTAAGAATGGCAAGATGTGATTTTAAGGCAGCCCTGTTACCACTGGCTCTGGGAAACTGGGAAAAATGAATATTTATTAGGGATATATAAAAAAGAGGAAACCCCTTGTAATGACTTATTCTAACATATATCATATCACAGTACAGTACAAAGTCCATAATCTGGACTCGTCGGGACTTCGGCGATTCCAGATTAGGGGTTTTTCTGGATTATAGATCATCAATTTAAATCTGGTAAGATGGCATGCAGAAATTATACAATTAAAAATATTAAACCGTAATTTATGAAATAAAGAGCAATTATGATCTAAAGGGTATCAAAATTTACAAAAAAAAGCTTAATATTTATTTGCTTGCTTTATTAAACATTTCTTTCAATGTAAGTTGTTTAAGTTGGTTTGTTTTTTGTGCTAAACGCGCATGCGTAAACATTAAACGTGCATGTGTAAAACATACAAAAAAAAAGTTTGTGGCTTTGAGGTCCGGTTTATAGAATTAGCATAAACAAGAAACATGAATAATAATTGCAGAAACATTTGCTAATATAGCCCTTATAAAAAAAACACGCTAAGTCTAACAGGTTTGTGATGTATTGGTCTTCAGTATAAATAAATGTCTTTCTAATAGCAATGTTACACATCCCTTAGCCATAATACTATTATCACATGATGCAATCAGATGTGCAGCCATATTTCTGACTCCCCTATAGATAAATCATATATTTACTTTTGCATTTCTTTTACCATCACTTCAGTTCACATTTGCATTTTTTACTTATCTAAATTTCAACAGCATTCAGTTTTGATTAATCACAAAGTCATACCATTTGTTTATTTCTAAAATATTTAAAATGTATATATATGCACATTTATATCCAAACTTTAGTATTATATTTTAAATACTTACACTGGCCAGCAATTATAGACAGAAAATTTGAATCTCTGTTTCTTGCAGATGCTGGAAGAGATCCTGTAGGTTCAACTGTACTGCGACGTGATAAAATTGGAGTTACAGGATTTGAAAAATTTTCAGTTATTTTGGATATACTCATTTTTTCCATTTTTACTGAAGGAGGTGGAGTAGCTGGAGGTGTTCTTAAACGTAAACTGCTGAAGTTCTCAAGCAAGATGGAAATAAATGGTAAATACAGTGATGCTATTCGAGCTTGATGAGCCTTAAAAAATACAGCCAATGTCATATTATGAAAGATATTGATGACATAAAAAATATAATTATACAAATCTTACACCGTATATAAGCTGAGAGTACATTTTTTTGGTCAAAAATTTGGCAAAATTCGAAACCCATATATAAGCCAAAAGGGAAAAAAAAAATTTTGCAACATTTAAACATGTCATCATGAGAGTGAAAATGTTGTCAAGCAGGCAAAATGGCTAGAGTATTTTCCAATCAACTTGCTGTACAGTAAAATACCAAGTGCCAATGGTAACAGTTAACACTAAGCACCAATGATGATAATTTCAAATTACAGGTAATCGTGTTTGCTGAAAATTCTACGAATAGCAACAGTATCACTGCTTGGCAATTCTCTAGAAAGTCAGGTGCAAATTTCGCCAACATCAGATCTTAAATTCTGGTAATTATGCAACAAACCATCATTGTAAAAAATTTTGAAAATAAAATTCATTTTCATAAAAGTAATAATTCATTTCATTTAAAAAGAATTTTTTTCAAAAACTTAGGAAATATAAAGTCAAAAAGTAATATATTTAGCAATTTACTGCTTGTGTCCACCTAATGGAAAAGTACCTATGTTTTTTGCAAGATTAGGAGACTGTTATAAGAGATGATTCCCTGTAATTTAGCTTTAGAAAAAGTTTAAAAAATTCTCAGCTTATACATGAAAATATATGGTATATCAATAAATTAAATATTTTAACCTATATAAAATGGAATAATTTTTCCAGTAATGGTTTAAAACAAAAAATAAATAATCAGAATAATCACAAATTCATTCATAATTTTTAAAATGAATTTACAGCATTTAGCTAAGAATTCTATTTCCCTTTTTTTAGTGATAGCATATATCATTAGAAAAATATTTATCTATATGTCTCACTATTAAAATGTTGGCATGTTAAGGTTACAACCAATAATATGATTTTTGAAATATATTTATGATAATAAAAAGTTAATATGATTCACAAATTGTAAGGATTTATCATTTTATAGCACTGACTTTAAAACACTTAAGCTGTTTTAAAATGCTATTCAAATTTACAAAATTTTGGTTCTCCCAAACGTTTTTGCATTTTGTAGTCCACACAAGTCTAATAAAGCTGACAGTTCATTGAATAAATTCTATTTCTTAATTTGTTACAGGGAATTAAAAGAAAGAAAACCCAGAATGAGCTGCTAATTATTCTGTGCATCAAATTAGACACACATACTGAATTTTATCAGCGATTTTGTGGAAGTTTAAGAATTATTCTTTAAAATAAAGGCATATCAATGTTCTTCATATTATATTTAACATTTATAACAAGATTAAATTTTATAAATACTACTTATGCCTCTTCCTCTAAACCAAAACAATACAATACCTTTCCTTGGTAGCGATCATCAAATGCATGCTTTGCTAAAAGATTTCTGAAAACTGAAATAGCTGTTTGCCGTATCTCATGGACCTCACATAGAGATGCCCTTATTTCTTGTAATAAAGTACCCAGAAGAAAGTGATGGCGGCAAAATTCTTCAGATAAACGATATTCATGTTCAAAATCTAAAAATGAATTAGATTTCTTATTTTTAACAGCCAAAATGTACGAGAATGTTTCAAAAATTCTACATACCTACATAAGACCCAATACAAAAGGCAAAAAGAAATACGAAGGCAACAAGCTCCTCCAATGCCACTATTTTAAAAGCCAGAATATAAATAATTCTATACACATATGTAAGCACATCAATGATTTCACTCAATATAAAAATAATGCTTTATATTACACACAAACAAATATACAAATAAAATTTTTATGAATTTTATTTTAAAAGTTTTCAAAGCTGCAGGCATATCATAACCTCTGTAATAAGATTAAGTATGAAAAAGATTGAGTTCCGATTTATAAAAGTTCAACTTTGCATATTAAAAGAAAAATTCATATACAAAACTAATAAACTAAATTAGTTTCACATGCTTAATGAAGTAAGTGCTTACAGTTAAGAAATGCTTTATTTTTACAAATAAGTACACAAAAATAAACATATATCAGAAAAGGAGACAAAAAGAACTAATAAGAAAATTGTAAAATGGCTATTATTTTTACTTGCTAGAAAAAATTAACATTTTACCAGTGGAGCATAATGTATTATAGTATGTATATATATATGGAAAAAAAAAGTGAAAAAGCTTATATTGAAGAAAAATGTGCAATCTAACTTTGTACTTTCAAAATAATGCATCATATGCACATTTAAAAGGTTTAAAGTTAGACTGAAATACACATATGAGATGCATTATGGCCTCATAATGACTGAAATGTGCATATGATGCAGTACACCCACTGTTTAGAAATAATTAAAACTACTGGCTGAGGACTAGTATTAATTAGATACTTTTGCCTATTAAATTATGTCAAAGTTTTAATAATAAATTCCTCAAAGAAAATATCACTATGATCATCAAGAAAAAAATTTTAAAAATGTAATGCAGCTGTATATGTACCTCAAAAGCAAAAGAAGGTGTCACTGATATATCTTCTTACGAAAAACAAATTATTTATACAGGAAATTAAAATAAATAAATAAATAAAACTCCACACTTAACATCACTAGGTGCTTAAGTTTGAAGTTTTAAATGTTAGCACTTAATTATAACTATAAATTATTAAAATTTTATTGATAATTAAAATCAAATAAACATATATTAAAAAATAGGAAAAGATTTGTTCCATTCTGTTTATATTTGGAAAATGTAATAATGATTCCATTTTGAGTTGATTCGCTGATTTACGTTCTATGGAAAATATTTAATGTTGGTCACAGTATACAATTTGTTAGGTTTGCACAAAATAAATATATATATATATTAATTAATTAATTAAAATTGCCATACAGAAGCATACAAATAATGAAATAAAGAATTCTGCTATATAAACTAGGAAATTCTATAAGTATCTATCACATCCCAATTCGCCATCCTCCTGAAGATTAATATAAAAAACCCTTTGAATACTTGTTCATCATGTCTGTTTTTGGTTCAATAACTTTAACATTTAGACCAATTAAAAATTTATTACTTTAAATGCATGCTTAAAAAATGTTTAAAATAAAAATTATGTAAATAATAAGGTAATTTAATTCAAAAATGCTATATTCTAATTTATTTTTGAAAAAAGAATTAATTATGAAAAGCAAATGCAAACTCATCCATCTACAGCAAGGATGTCAAACTCGCGGCCCACAACAAATATTTTTGCGGCCTGGCCAATATATCGGGAAATAATAATATATAAAAAAAACTGAAATGTTTCAGATTTTAAATTACGTCCAAAGGGGCGTTTTTTTAACGTTTTGAGTGTTACCTTTATTTATTAAATATCATGTTCTTTGCACTTAAACCATAAAATTCAGTTCAAGAGCAATATCGCAAAATAATGTTAAATTAAGCATATCTTTAGAATTTCCGATATACACAGTCTCGCGAGCTGGAGATAAAAGTATTTTTTTTTCTATATAACGTTGCCATTTCTCGCTTTTAAAGCATTGAGTTTGTAAATCAAAAATTCGTTAAAGTTTTACAAAATATAAAATCTATAATAAAACAAATTCCAAATTTGGGATTTCAGATGCCCATATTCGCAGTAGTAGGATTTCGTCATTCAAAATTCGATGGCTCTATGTCAGTTTATCACAATGCGAGATAGACAATCATTTATGCAGATTTTTCATATTAATTTCAAAATGCAGGACTACATTTGTGCACGTTGAAAGTGAACCGAATTATAGCCGAGCAATCGAAACGAAAGATAGCCTCGGACAAAGCCCCTTGATAATAATAAAATAACATATCGACGAAGAAAAAAAATGAAATGTTTACTGCTAAGTAATTAACGATAATTTATTCAGTGTTGTTAGATTACTCACAGCGAGCTGACACACACACTACTTAAATTACAAATGCGTGTGAGTAGCTTGCGTTCAGCTACCTTCGGCTTTTGGGGGACACGTGCACTCAGAACTTGTACGCATCCCCCGATAGCCGAATGTGGCCGAACTCATGGTCTCAGTTTTCCAATCATAGTTTTGTACGATATATTGGTGCATGCATGTGCATGCACTTTGCTTTATTATTAATTATTACTTAATTCATATTGTTACGGATTTCATAGTTATTTATTTATTTAGTTTTTTTTTATTTAGAATTGTAATTAGATTTGCTTCATGTTGCCTTAGCAACGCAGACGATTTTTGAAAAGACAGCTGCGTTGGAAGGTTAAAAATAGAACAGCGCGTGCATTTAATACCTAATAAATAAATATCTCGTAATTGCTGTTGCCATCCACAAAAATCCAGATATTTATAGATGTTTCCAGTATATTCGAGAAATTAATTATAAAGCTTATAAAAGCCGAGAACAAACAACTCATCTCAGTAGTAGCTGTAGTTCTAGCGAACTGTTTGTTTACTTAATGCTGTGATTGATTTGTAGCGATTTCGCTGTGAGATAGAATTAGTTTCTCTGTTTTGAATTGATTTTTGCTAAACGTTTGACATTTTGTGATATTGTTAGAATATTTTTGAAGAAATATTTCAGCATTTTGATTTATCTCTTGTGGAAAGAATAAATTTTTGTTAACTTTTTAACGTTAACCGTGTTTATTCCAGCCCTTTGTATTCAGTATGTCTATATCAAAACCAAGTGGTAGTAAAATTAAACGAAAAATCGCTGACGAACATAGAATTAGAATAATAAAGTAAAATGCTGGAATTAGAATATTAATATTAATTCTGAAAATACGAAATCGAAATATAACAATTACGAAGGATTAATGAGAGAAGAAAAGTTGAAAGAGCTCAAGTTAGGAGTGAAAAAGCAACAGTCCATGTTTAGTAAAGTATTGCAAGAAAGTGAAGCGGCGGTACATGCAAGCTACGTCTTGTCCGAGTTGATAGCTAAACATTCGAAGCCTTTTACTGACGGTGATTTCATCAAGGAATGCCTAATGAAAGCTGGAGAAATTGTTTGTCCTGGAAATGTGAAGGCTTTTCAATCAATTTCATTGTCTCGAAATACAGTTGCGGAAAGAGTTACTGATTTAGCCGCGAATTTAAGTGATCAGATCAAAGCAAAATCATCTAGTTTCGAAAGTTTCTCCATTGCCTGTGACGAGAGCACGGACATTAGTGGCAAAGCTCAATTAGCAGTGTTTCTTCGTTCTTGTGACAAGAATTTTAACATTTTTGAGGAATTACTGGAACTAATACCGATGCCTGGTACTACCACAGGAGAAGATATATTTACTTGTGTTTTTGGACTTCTGCAGAAATACAATCTACCTTTGGCAAAATTAAATTAGCTACAGATGGCGCTCCATCAATGACCGGGGGAAAAACAAGGGCTTCGTAGCATTACTAAGAAAAAAAACTTAGTGAAATTCACGGTTCAAACATTCATCATATGCATTGTATTATACATCAAGAAGTTCTATGCACGAAAGTAATAAATATGGAGAATGTTTTGTCATATATAAAAAAAAGTTATAAATTTTATAAGATCTCGAGGTTTAAATCAGCGTCAATTCACTGCTTTCTTAAGTGAGTTAGATAGTGAATATTCGGGTTTGTCCTACTATACCGAGGTACGTTGGTTATCTTGCTCCAAGATTCTCAAACAATTCTGGGATTTGAAAGAAGAAATATGTCAGTTTTTAAAAACGAAAAATCAAGACGTAAGTTTGTTTTACGATCCAATATGGATACAAGATTTATCTTTCTTGGTTGATATAACCAAACACTTAACCGATTTAAATTTATCGTTACAAGGAAAAGATCATATCATTACGAACATGTTTGACATAATTAAAGCATTCAAATGTCAACTAGTTCTTTGGGAAAAACAACTTAAAAATGAAGATTTGACGCACTTCCCGACGTGCAGCATGAACAAATCAAGTTTAGATGATACTTGTTCGTATCAAAAATACGCAGAAAAAATTGCAAATTTAACAACTGAATTTGAAACGAGGTTTAATGATTTTAGTTCCCTCGAAGACAATTTTTTTTTGTTGTTTTCTTCGATTTTCTCAATAAGTATTGACTCAGTACCTAGCCATATGCAAATGGAGGCTATCGAGATTCAATGCAACTCAAATTTGAAAGCAAAATTCATTGAAGTGGGCGTGCCTGAATTTTACAAATATTTACCAGCCAGGTTTGAAAATACTCGAAAATTCGCATATGAAATTATTTCCATGTTTGGTAGCACTTATCGGTGCGAGCAGTTATTTTCAGTCATGAAAGGTAATAAGTCTCCTATTAGAAACCGTATTAATGATGCTCACCTTGGGTCAGCGTTGAAAGTTATCACTGCAAACACAAAATTTCTCCCGAAATAGGAAAGATAATAGCAGAGAAGAGATGTCAAGTATCAGGACGTAAACATTAAATTTTTCTTGTTTTTCTATATAAATATATATATATATATATATATATATTATATATGTTTATTATTGTATTATTTGAAATAAATCAACGTTTCTATGAATATTGATTTTTTTTTTTTTTTTTTTTTTTTTTTTTCGGCCCGCCTAAAGTTAAACCTTGTTTGTTTGGCCCAAGTGTACCTATGAGTTTGACATCCCTGATCTACAGTAAAGCTGTACAGCCAGCAAACCAAAGCAAACTAGCAAAACAATTCTACCATGCATAAGCAACAAGCTGTAACAGCTGGTAACAATCACTTACCAAAAGATTCATCACAGGTTTCTGTAGCAGATACGAAAAGTTAATCAGACTGGCATTAAGTGATAAATAATTCACATTCAAGTTAATTTAATAAAATTTTAGAGAATAATAGATGAACTACTGCAAGAAATACAAGTACAGCAAATACATCTAAATACAATTTAGTGATAATGTACTATACAGGAAGAATAACAATGAAAATATATACATAGGATTTTCACATACAAAATACATACAAATACTACTTTACAACATGCAAGAGAATATAAGAAAAGATACTGAAAAACGAACATATCAACACAACCAAGGTGAAAAATATACATAGACTGGGGACATATACAGATAACATATATATCTATTTCTCTTTCTCTCTCTATATATATACATATATGCATATCATAAAGGGTATATAGTTATTTCCTTAAACACTAAAATGAATTTTGAATGCAGAAAACCAGACAGTTTGGAAACTGCATCTGCCTGCACCAAATTCACTACATTCTAGCATAAAATATAAATTACATTGCCCTCAAAGGCAGATTTTGGTAGTTGTAATCATATTATTAAAACTATAACAAGTAGCAAAACAAGAGCACATATACAGAGTATTGACAGTTTAGTATGAAATAACTCCTCGCATACACCAATGACTTGAACAGAAGTCCTGAGGTACCAGTATCTTGATCACCAGCATATGTTTCTAATGACACTGAAAAAGTATAATCTTTACATGAAATTTGCCTAAAAAACAGTAATGGATGGATGGATGATAGTTTGGATGATAGTATGCCATGTTATACCTCAATAAGAAGCCTAAACTAGTAGTAAGGAGAGATTTGTATATTAAATCTTTGAAATTAAAAATAAACAACTGCTTAAACAAGTACAGCAAAATAATACCTATGATTCCTGAAATGCTGCACAACATTTAAGAAGAAGATCTTGCTTGAATCCAGAAATGGTCAGCTGCTAATGATGGGCAACATCAAGCATGTTTAACTATTAATACTGACAGTTCTGTAATTCTAGAAACATTACTGTGTCATTTTCTTTTCAAAATATCTCACCGATGTATGAATTCTTTGCTATAATGAATTGTGCCTGCTGACATGCATAAATTCTATTAGAAAATTTCTATCTGCCTGATGATGTCATAAATATAATAGACCAGATATCAAGATATCTGTATATAGGGCTCCTATTCAAATTAATGGTGTATGCAAACCATCTTTTCATACTAAACTGATGATGCCTGACTCCTATGCTATTGATTTTTTGGGGTAAGCTACCTCTCAATAGTTTTTATAACAGGACTATAACTTCCAAATTCCCTTCTAGGGGGCTTACCCTCATCCATATTATATGAGTTCTGTTACATACCAGTTCCTTTAGCACTGAAAGATAAATTTTGAAGTACTGCTGAAATTTAAATGAGGAATTTTCTGGTGGCAACCGCTACTTTTGCAATTTTAAAGAATAATATTTGAATGAACATTTCATAAAAAGTTCAAGCTTTTTTGTTCTATGTAAGTTTCAATAGAAAGCAGTGAAAATAAATGTCAAATATAAGAAACACATAATAAATAACTCTTAGTTCTGTTCTGTAAACACTGTAAAAAGAACAACAGAAAAAGGTATAGAAATATACAGTCTCAAGCTGCTATGTTTTATGCTAATGCAAATTACTGAAAGTATTCTACAACAGTTTATGTTCAGAGAATGGTACTGTGCATTTTATATGTTATTTCAAGAAAATCAAAATCAATAGAAAGACACGTAAAATAAGTTATATTTCGTTTTATGTTTTGTTTTTGAATATCTATGTTTGATTTGTACTAAATCTATATAAAGATATGTTAAACCCTATATATGTTGGTATATTAAAAGTTTTAGGAAAATTACAAACTTTCATTTAAGCATGGCTTATTTACAAAAAGAAGCAGTATTTAATTGAATTAGCAGAGATACTATGTGTAATGACAGAGAAAGACTTTAGAATTCTTGAAATAAGTGCTATAATCACAAATCTCACATATGACATGGAGCTATGAAAGAATGTCTTAAGCGCATCATAAATGATTGTAAAGGAATGGAAATAGAACAATGTGCTAAGAGAGAGAAAGAAAATGAATGGTTGTTGTATAGAAGATATTAAAATTACAATCTAGTATTATCGCTAGTAGGGCAACAGTGTCTTCTTCTGTATATGCAGAAAAGCCTCAATTAGACGTGGACAAGTTAGTTTCTAATTTTGATCCTAACACAGCCCACATTCATTTTTTTCTCGACTTGTTTGAGAGGCAATTAACCCTTCTGAAAGTACCAATTTCAAAACAGGTAGTCTATCTTGTTGGTCTTCTACCCACTGATGTTGTAAAACTAGTAATTGCAAAAGAATCTTCTGATGACACTCAAGATTATCAGAAAGTTAAACAAATTCTCTTAAAGTTCTTCATTGCTTGGCCAACAAAAGAAAATCCAGAAAACACCTGGTGTGACTTTTATTTTGACTTACAAAACTATTTTGATGGGTGGTTTAAAGAATCAAAAGTCATAATATTTGAGCAGTTTAAGAACTTGATATTTGCAGATAAAATTAAGATGAAAGCCCCACCAGATTGTATGGAACATTTATTGTACCAATGGAGTAATTGGAATTGGTGAAACAACCCACTTCAGCTTGCGGACTAATTAAATTAGATATGCATGAAGAAGTCAGACATGTACAAAATAAAAATGATAATAAAGAAGTCCTTAAGTTTCAACAATGAGATAGTCCCAAAAATTATAGAGGTAATCCTCAATATACTAAGAGTGCTTCATCAAGAGATAATGCAAAAAAAAATGAAGATCAACCAACAGTTAGTTACTATGGCTGAGGGAAGTTAGGCTTTATTAAGGCTAAATGCTCTATCTGCTCCCACCCTCTGAAGAAAGCAGAAGCTGATTTCAGAGCTTTACATCTTTGGACATTCTCTGTAGAGGAGCTCAAGGCTATTCTTTTAAGAGAAAAATAAATGAGTTGAGATGGTCCCAAAAATTATACAGGTAATCCTCAATATACTAAGAGTGCTTCATCAAGAGATAATGGGGGGGGGGAAATGAAGATCGACCAACAGTTAGTTACTATGGCTGAGGGAAGTTCCTTCTCTGAAGAAAGCAGAAGCTGATTTCAGAGCTTTACACGTTTTGATATTCTCTGTAGAGGAGCTCAAGGCTATTCTTTTAAGAGAAAAATAAATGAGTTATCCGGAATTATATGCGTGCTGAAGCAAATCACACTATAAATGGGAGAAACATTACATTGTCTTTTGAAAGAAAGAGGAATAGAATTTTGAAAAAACCAGTATAAATGTTACCCTAGTTGACAGTTTCCAGAAAGAAACAGAAGTTTATATGACCCAAGTAGATACTGAAATTGAAGGACGATCGTTCTGAATAACTTTATTTGCCTTACCTATAGCTAAAGATAACAGAATGCTTTTAGGAACTTATTTTTTACAACGTGCTGAAATTGTTTTAGACCTTCCAAATAGTTAAATTTCTACTATGACATTAAATGGAAATTTAGCTTTAGTGATGCCGTTTTCAAACCACCTGAACATCCAGAAAATAATGTGGACTTCAATACACTACAATTAAGAGTAAATGAAGGAAGACAACTGAAAACCAAAGAGAAAAACTCAATGCTCTGTTAATGAAATATGACACTGTGTTCCAAACAGGAAGAGAAGCAACTTCCAATATTGAACTACCATGTAAATACCGGGAATAACCCATCAGTTTTAGTACAAGCATAATGGACGTCTCCAGCCACGAAAGATATTTTAAAGAAGGAGCTTGATGATCTGCTGGAAAAGAAAATAACAGAAGAATGTGAGTCTTGATATGCTGTGCCAATGGTTCTTGTGCCCAAACCAAACAGAAAAATTTGTGCTAATTTCTGGTTTGTTTGAATGGCTTTCAGACTGAAAACTGCTCTGGTCACTTTTCAAATATTAATTGATAAATTCTGAAGTGGCTTGAAATGATATGCTTGTTCTCCCTTACTTAGATGACATTAAAATACTATCAGAGACTATCAAAAAAACATGCAGCTGATCTAAAAGAAGTCTTCAAGAGACTGTTGCAAATTAAACTTAACGCTAATTGTGAGAAATGCAGTTTTGCTTGCAGTAAAATGAAGTATATTGGTCATTGGATTATTGGTGAAGAAGCAGAAGTTGATCCAGAAACAACCACTGCTGTACAGAAGATGCCTACTCCAAGAAATGTGAAATAAGTGTATTCTTTCTTGCAGACCTAATCCTGGTATAAAAGATTCATACCAAAATTTTCAGTAGTAGTTAGACCTCTCTAAGTGATCTAACTAAGAAGAACATAAACTAGACATGGGGACCAGAGGAATTCTTTCCAGACATTAAAACGATTTCTCATTAGCCCTCCCATCTTAAAGCAAAATGATGCAACAAAACATTATATTATTTGGGCGGATGTTAATAAGTTTGCTTATTGGTGCTATGCTATTAGAAGGAAAATGTTCAGAGGAACATCCAATAGAATACGCAAGCAATTTGTTGTCTACCACCAAAAGAAACTACTATACAACAGAATGATAAGCCCTTGCTGTTGTATGGGCCTTGAATAAATTCAGTGGCTACATTGATGGTCAAGAGATTATCATAGCATTTGATCACAAACCATTGAAATGGATTTTAAGCCTAAAGTCACCTATGGGTAGACTTGCTAAGTAGGCTATGCAATTACAGTCTTATAATTCGAATATGGAATACATCCCTGGAAGAGGTAATTTTGTAGCCGATATGTTGTCATATCCTGTGTGCAACCATGAAGGAGAATTATGTGAAGTTTACATGATAAACATTGAAATGCCAACCAAAAAGGCAGCAGAATTCTGTAGAGAACAGCTGATGGATACAGATCTTAAAAAGGTGATAGAATCTTTTGAAAGTGAAGTAAAAGATGAAAATTTTTCAAATAGAACCAGACAAGGTTATATA